GTAAAACGTTATTTATTCCTAAAAAAAAACGCCCTGGGTCGACGATCACAGTTCGCGGGCAGGTCGTCACGGTTCGTAGGATGGGTCGTTCGCAGGGTGGGTCGTGTCGTGGGAGGCAGAGATGCAACCGGTGAAAGATAACGGGAGGAATTTGGCTTCCTCCCAAGACCAGCCGACGGATGCGTGCAACGATTTGATGCCGAAGACGGGGGAGAGGAGATAAGTGGCTTGGCAAAGACGCCAAGGACAAATGAGATGCGAGAATGGTTTTTGTCACAACCTGCTAACGGGAACGATCCGGGGTCGAAAATATCCGGCGTCAGTCGCAGGGAATCTCGGGGAGGCGGGACGCATCCGAGTCCATCGACCGGTAAAAGCCTTTTCGTCTCATGTGCCAATGCAGGAACCTATGGAGGGAATCGCAGTCTGTCAGACATGAATCACTGTGAAGTTCTTATCCCGGGGGAAAAGAGCTATAAGCTCGTGAATGATGACAGATGAGGGGGAAGGAGGGGTAGATGCCAAAAATGTGGAGCAGATGTGGAAATGATTTTTTTTCCCGCCCGTTTTTACGCAGACAATTCACCGGAAAGTTTATGGATGATGTCGCTTTTAAGGGATTCATTATCGTAATCCTTTGTCAGTAACCATATCATAATAATGCCGTAATGAGCTGGATAAATTATGGCATCACCTATGTGGCTGCTTCCAAATTACATGCAATGTGGGCAGAAAAACTCAGGTTGTCAAAGATAATTTCAATCATGCAGTGACTGATGCCTTGTTGACTGCCCATTTTCGAACGAGTGCTTTCAAACATTAAAACAAGCATTGACACATGTTTGAATGTTTCTGAACGAGTGATTGAAGCCAAAATCAGCTATTGTACTCCACAATGGAACAGCATGGGCTAGCACTCAGATGTCAAGATAATTACAGCTTCATCACTGTATTGTAATTACATCTTATTGGTGTTTGTATATCAGCTTGTCAGTGGATCATATAAGTAATGAGGATTAACCCAATATCTTATCTATTTTTGTGATTGTCTTCATGTTGCACATAATCTTACATCATTGCAGCCATGCACAAACAATATTCTGCCTCTGAAAAGTACGTTACTCTGGAGATGATGAATCCACTGCAATAGCTTTATTATTGCATGATGAATTCAGTCCCATACCAAACCTGAGTGAAATGATGCCCATGTTTTAGTTGGGGGGGTGGGGGGGACAGCCTTGTCTGATGGTGTCAGACTTCTCCAGCATATTGCATGTAATCCCAGAATTGAGAAATTCTCTGAATTACTGCTGAATTTCCTGACAGCATAATCAACTCTGCATTGACCTATAAGTTGGTCTTTGGTCCATTGTTCCAATGTTTATTCACATGTATGTAGAACATTTCATTAATTTTGTGATGGTATGACAGAAGAAGAAAAGTTCACTTTTGGCGGAAGAAATTGAGCAGACATCACCACCATATAGAGTGTGTCCCAATCCCACTCCCTAGCATAAAACTTATTCATATCTGCTACCTATTGAATATATTATGTTGGTTGGGTTGCATAAATTTCGAAGTCACGAAGGTGGAGAGAAATTTAAAAATTCTTCCTCCTTAGAAGTTGTAAAAATGGACTAATCACCTATCATACCACCACAAAATTTTAACCTTTAAATGCTGAGCATTTCCAATTTCGAAGAGCAAGTTAATTGAAAAATTCGACTTTTACCATATCCAAAGAGAATAGAATCTTCCTTTCCATGCTCATAAAGGGGAGATTCCATGCTGCTCAAGTATGGTAAAATGAGAATTTATCCACTTTCATGCTCTGTTCGAATTTGAAAACATTCAGTGTGTAAAGGTTAAAGCTAGAGAGGTTTCAAGAGAGGAAGTTGTTCCCCCTATGGTGCTTGGGATATGGAAAAAAAAAAGGGGGGCTGACATGAGTATGAAGAGGGAGACTAGAAGAGAGGTAGCAGAGATGAGGAAGATGAGTCCTCGGACAATGTCCCTCAGGGCGGGGTAGAGACCATTGAAGATGAGAGATCCCAAGAGAGTGCAAACCATCTCCAGAGCTCCCACCATCGCAAACATTTTCCCTGTTGAGACAGGGAAAAAAAACTTAATTGTCCTTTAATCTGATTATGAGAAAGGGCAGACCTTCTTCTTCTTGTTCAACCAGCTGGGATAAGAGCGACCGGACTGCAGCAATGGAGCAGCTTCCCATCATTCCCAATAGGGCAACTAAGTGAGAGAGGAAACTAATTTCATACACTTTAATCAAAATGAAAGTATTGATTGAATTGTCATGTACCAGTACCTGAGAACATCATTGGGGTGTTAGTGCTGAATGCCAGGAGCAGGAATCCAGCTTGCTTGGACAGGATTCCAAGAATGCAGACATGAATGTCTACGAAGTGGCACAATCGTTTCAAGATGGGCACGATGACCACGAGGGACAGTGCCCCCAGTCCGTACTTCACCCCGAAGTAGTAACTGTATGTGCTGTAGGTCCAATTTAGGGGATTGTCCTTGGAGTACAAGTATGCAACATCGTTCTCGCCTGGTCCGTGATTGGGAATGAAATACAGCACCATGAGAACATGAAGATATGATGACATGAATATGAGAATTCAGAAGAATTTCAATTTTTTAGAATTCAGAATTGAAAGCTCAGTACAATCAAATTAGAATTCTCAATTCCAAATGTCTCTGTTATACAGGGTGATTTTTTTTATTTGCGAACCCAAACAAAATGCACATTACCAACAAAAGTTTTAATGATGATGCAATGAAATTTGGGCATTTTGGTTGTTGGTGGTTTACACACAACACATTGGCATAACCCTTAAGAGTACTGTAACACTAAGAACCTGATGAACTTGTCAATGCAAACTGATACAAATCCAAACCTTAATTAAACAGGCGAATGTCCCTCAAAAAGCTCAAGAAAGTATTGGTGCCTTGTTTCATTGAACACCACCAAATTTCCTTCAGATGATGTGAAAAAATGTCCGGGTTGGCACCATGGATTTTTCCTGATTTTTAATGCCAACCATGATTAAGTGGGCATACTCAGCCCACTTATCAGACACAATCAATATTCCTGATACAACCTCATTTGGAATGATTGGAAGCAAAGTTTCCTGATCATGATGTAATCTTCATGAGGAAGGAGAATATGTCTGAGTTCTCAAACTTTATTGGTTCAAGTAATTTCCTTGATGAAATCTCTATTTCTGGCATGGGTTTATGAGATTCATCCTTTTCCTGGAACCATCAGGGGGGTGTGATGTTGCCAAGGAAGGAGGTGAGAGAGGTTATTCCAAGTCAGGTCTCCAAAACAAATGAAAAAAATGGTGCCAGAGAAATTTTGTGGTTGGAATTTCTGAATGTCTTGGTGTGTAGACCACCAATGACCAGAATACCGAAATTTGATGCTATTTTTGGCTTAATTGTTGCAGTCTGTAACTTGCACTGTGGAATCACCAAAATTTCTTCACCAACTTCTTGACAAATTTTAAATAAACCACTTTTAACATAACCTTCAACCACAAAAATGCTTGTCTAAGCCTAACATCATCTTGAAACCCCTGCAATGCTGCTGCCTGTTATCAAGAGACTTAATAAAAAGAAAAAAAAGACTTTGCAATGACTGGACTACAACCTCAAATATAAAAATTACCCACTACTTCATGAGTGGAAACTTCTTGCTTTGTGCAAAGGAAATTGAATCAGAAGTTTGTGTTTACAAATAAAAAAATCACTCTATACAAGTGATTCCTAGATATCTGAACGCTGTCTACTGCCTTGTGTTAAGGCAATAATTACTGGTATTCAATCACACTTAAATTATAATCAATTGGAGAATAGCTTACAAAACTGCAGGAAATATTACTTTTTGGAATGGTTGACCTCAAAAGTAATGGAAGACTATAAGTACTTTCTCATATTTGATTACCAACAATTATAACCCACTACCTGCTGACACGAGGAAGAGGATCATGGCAGCAGGGATGAGGAGAAGCAAGTACATGCGCAATCCATTGTTCCTTCTCTTCAGACAGGTGCTGAGGAATGCCTTGAGGTGTCCCAGCTGAAAGTAACTGGCATATGAAGAGAGGTCGACCTTGGTGTCTCGGGGTGCCCGGACATTCTTCACAACAAAAAGGACGTAGAAAACTGCCAAGACATTACAGATGAGGATGGCCAAAAATACATATGAATGACCATGTGTGTTCATGATGAAACCCCCTATGAATGGACCCAACGTCCCTCCCAAGAAAGTCATCGATTCCAAGACCGAGATGCGCACTGTGCGATTCATGGTGGAGGAGACTGATGAAATGTAACTCATTGATGCCATGATGATGCATACGAAACCACCAGACACTCCCGAGATGATGCTGCTCAGGATGATCAATCCCACTGGTGCATTGGGAAACTCTGAGAGGAAGACGTAGACTAGAGATGCAAAAACATTCCCCGCACACGGGAACAGCAGGGGGAACTTGCGACCGTAGCGGTCACTCCAGGATCCGACATACCCCACTGCGAGGATGGACGGAAGCGTGAGGGCGACTGTGGACACGAGAATCCAATACGAAGACTCCCGCTGAACCAGACTCCTCGCCATCGCATCATCTTCCAGGTTATCACAGGTGCTGGAGGGATACTTCCCGAGGCATACTTTGGAGTAGACTAGATCTTGCAATGCTATGTATTGCATAAATGTCCCTAACATGTACAGAAACAGCACTGGCTCCACCGTGATGAGGAAAACTGTTTCCAACATTTTGAACTCCCTTAAAAAAGTTTGAAATGAAGATTATCAATGAATGAAAGAAATGGGAAGAGAGATAAATTTTTTACACACGCCGTGAATTGAATGTTCATTGTCGCAATTAATGCCAAGTGGGAAGGTTCTGTCAATTGGAACAGTTATAGCAAAAATTCCTTCCCAAGAATGAAAGTAATGAAAGCAATTCTTGCCAGAAGGCACACAAAGCACATGCCTGTGTTGCTTCAAAAAAGAGAACCTTGTAATCAATCAGATTGCAGCCTGACCTCACAACACAATCACGAGCCACAATAGAATCCTATGTCCTTGCAGGAAGACAATGGGTTGTTTTCATCTGCTGCATGGAACTGAACTTAATAATACACAACCCACCAAAAAGTTCTGTTCAATCTGGCAGGGTGATGCATTACTATGTTAATGCTATACATGTGTGAATTCAATCAATCAGCTTCTGAATGGAACTGGTTACAAAACCTGAGTTATTCAGTTGCTTGCCTAATGAATACTCCAAATATAGATTCATTAAAACATTTGGAATATCATCTACCTGCATAAACATAGGAATGATGTTTGTCAATGTGTTAAATAAATTCAAACTGACTCTCAGATCATGATAAAAGCATACTTTTAGTAATGAAATGATCACATGGAAGTTTGAAAGTGCATTCACTCTATGTGAGAGTCATCCCAAAATTCCATCTCATGGACAAATGTTGCTTTTCGGGTGACAAATTTAGAGTGAGACATGAGTGAATGTATGGCTCTTCTCTATCACAGGCCTTCAGTCAAAAAGACATGAAAATAGCCTCCCTACAGCAAGCATACACTTATTGCAAAATTTCATAAATTTTGGCAGTGATTTCCTGAGTGGAAGCTGGAACTTGAATAAGCAGGGGCAGTTCAAGTTACTTCCAAGAAAAAGACTTGAAGGAGAAATCTCTTTGTCTTGGTGTCTGCTTTCACCTGACTCAGCGCTCAATAACAGCTGAAACACATACATGAACTAAGGCTCAAATAAACTGAGAAGAATCAAACTTTCACTCAAATGTCACACTTCTTTGCACTGAGCTTGTTTCTCTCTATTTACAAATGGCATTTGAAATGAGAAACAAACCCAGTGTAAAATTTTTAAAAACCCTCACAAAAAACAAATGCTTCACACGGTGAGAGACATCCCTCCCTCTTCAGAGCGGGTGTTCAAAGAACTGTCTGAACCCGACAATAATGGCTTTGCCCCGGCAGGCTCTTCGGAGTCAAAATATGCATCTTCGGCGTCCTGGTCCTCCATCTCGAGATCGTCGAATTCATCGTTCCGGTCCACCTGGGCATAGTCGAAGTCCTCCTCCTTCCCTTCCAGGAAGTTCTCGAAAACAATGTCCCGGAATTCTTCTCGGAGGTTCGCCTTCTCCTCGTCCTCTATCTCCTCTGCAGCTTGGTTTTTCCTCACTGGGCATTCTTCATCGCTCTCATCTAGTTCCTCGTCTTCGTGCTCTTTCTCCCGCTCGCGCATCTTGTAGTATTCCTTGTCATGATGCCCGAGCAGTATGGATGAGAGCTTGCAGTCCTTGTAGAGGAGTTCCCTTTCCAGCTGTTCCTTTTCCTCTTCGGACTGAAAGCGACCGATCATCTCTTCGTAGAGGGAAGGATTTCTTATTTTCATTTCTGCCTCATCAAAATCATCCCCCTCTGTCACTCTCCCCTTGAGGGCCTTGAAACGCCTATTTTTCACTATTGTCCTGGCATGTTCTTTTCTCCTGCACACTTCCTTGAAACAGGAACGCACTTCTGAGTTCTCCACATTTTCTGGATGGCTCTCAAAATACTCTAGATGCTCTGCTTGCAAGAAGTCACCATATCGAAGCAAAAATGTCACCAGGTTCTTGTCCAATAGGTTGCTCGCAATGCTCCTTTTCTCTTCACACCTCAGATCTGGTTCACCTCGTTGTTGACTGCGAAAAAACGCATCTGTCTGCGATATGCAGTCCAACATCCTTTCCCTCACTGAGTCACATGAACTCAGATTTTCACTTCCCTCTACACCAACATCATTCACTGGTGTTCTTTCTTCACACACGTCCATATCTTGGGTTTCCTGTTGCTGCACACCCTGTCCACTGGAGTGAACCGACTGAGACTGGAAGCAAGAGGTTCCTGCTCTGGCATCCATGCCCTCCATGCGGTCTGGCCCATCTCTATCTTCCTCCTCGCTGGTGGCCGTGACTGCATTGGACTCAATGCTCTCCATCGTCCCAACCTCTCCTCGTATCTGCATGCCTATTGGTGGAACAGATTCAAAACTGGAGATTAGTAATGCAAGACCATGAAGGGGAATCAGTGCCTTGCCCTTTGGAAATGAAGCAGAGCACCACAAATTCAAGACAGGAGCAAAAAGGATGTACTGTGCCACATGATGGCCTTGACTGTGGAAAACATTCTCTTAGTTTTGTATATTCTAGCATAAACTCACCTAAAACTTCTTCCTTTCTTTCTTTCCTTTTTCCCAACAAATGGGAGGGCACAGGTGTGAGACAAAGTTCATAACAGCCCTGTTAAAGAGGAAAAGAGAGAGACAAAAGTTGAAAGTAATACATGAATAAAATGCAAAGATGATTTTAAAAAAGATGATGCAAGTCCACAGTCAAAAGAGGAAAGAGGGTACATATAATCAGAGAAACAGGTCGGCAACCACAGAGTTACACTACCCATGAAAATTCATAGAAATAGTGCTTAAGAAGCCAGAAGCAGGAGGGATTTCAAACAGCCACATCACAGTTGCGGGAAAATTGTTTTGGAAAGTTCGGTAACAGATTGAAAGGTAGCCATTTTTCAAGAGATTGAAGTCATTTCATAAGCAGAGACTCAGACAGAGACTCAGACCAACGTCACCAACACAGTAGTTGCCATTATATTGCTAGTTCATCATTGCTATATCATTTTCTCCATACTATGGAAACAGAACTTTATTCCAATCATGGTCTAAGCCACTTTGGCTTTACATGTGACAAGCATGAATCGGCTGTCTTTCCGCATGCACAAACATTGATGGAGCAGCCGCTTATTCTCTTACGTCCATGGATGGCGACTTCCGAGCGGGGATCCTTCGTATTCGCCATTCATGTTGCTTCCTTATTCAGGTCTTATTGCCTCGCGCTCGGACGAGTGAGAGGCATGCCGATTGAACATTCTGATTAGCCTAGTGAATGAATACAACGAGGTGGGATGGTCCCACTTTCGGGACAGTAATAACGCAAGTGTCGCCGTGCATTGTGAGTTTGGCGGCCTCCAAGCGCCCAAGGGGGGGGGGGGGGGGGGGGGGGGGGGNGGGGGGGGGGGGGGGGGGGGGGGGGGGGGGGGGGGGGGGGGGGGGGTCGACAGAGAGTCGTGAAGTGTTGATGGCGACTACCGTGTAGTTGACGTTGAGTACTTTCGACGATTCCCTGGAGACATCAAGTTTATGGTCCTCGAGCGTCCAGGGTATGTTAAGTATGCTAACACTCCGGATGCAGCGAGAAGATAAGTGCCGAACACACTCAATTTTAGTTATGAGCTTAGCTGCATACGTCTAACTTGAGTTAGGCTCTCATAAGCAACCAATCATCCTTAATAAGAACAGGGAATAAACGGACGACCTGCGCAGCCCCACTGCAATAGCCGGCGGAGGTCACCGGTCTACTGCACCGACCTGAACGAGTTAAGAGAAATTCGACAGTCGGATTGCATAACACCACACGTGCGATAAGGAAGGACGCCATTTTCAATCCAAGATGGCTGCTCCCAGGCCCTGTCCGCGTGGACTTTCACGCAGTTTTCGTTCCTCGAGACGTCGCAGATGTTTTCTTCTCCCTGGTCGAAGCTGTTCCGTCTTCCATCCATCTGCATTGTGGATCCAAACGGTTCCTTATGTCGACATCCCCTCAAGGTTGGTTCATTTAAAATATAAAAATAATAATTAGCAGCTATCCATTCTTTATCTCTCCTCCGCAAACATACCGTTGTGAGAACGTTCAGCCGGTGTCAATACAGTGTCGTCAAGGTTGAAGGTTCAAGTACAACACTGCATGAATATCTTTGCGGTGTTATGGCACAATGATACCTTCCTAAATCGTGTTTTTGAATGATATTCCTGGTAACATCATGGAGCATGCCAATCCAATTGGGGATACTTCTTCCTTTTTTTTTTTAAGAAATGACCAAGAACTCCAGTAGTGCATACAATTGAATCAACATAGAATAAGCATTAAATCAAAATCCGGATATTGATTCAGCATGCAAACAATGTTGATTCAATGTTTTGTGTTCCTGGGGAACATATCTAGTGTTATTAACTAAAGTTGATGGAATGCTTCTGCTTCGATGTTCAGCAGCATCATTTATTAGGGATTTTAGGAATGTGCCATGAGATGAAAACTGCCTAGTGGTCTCTACTGACCAGCGTGTATTACAAGTGAACTGTGTTGATTGCCATGAAATGTTGAATCACTGTTCAGAAGCAGCTCTGATATGGAATGTGACTGGGCTTGCTGAGCAACCAATCTAGAGCTTTGATCTTCACCTGAGTGTTCCAATAAGTGACATTACAATGTTGGTCCAATGTTCATATGTAATACCACTTGAGTGCTGGGAAGGTTCTAAAGTAACATTCATGTAGTGCTCGTAGAATGTTATTGCACAGCTGGACAAACTATTAGCAATAGTCAAACTTCAAAATTCCTCTGAGTATTACGAAATGTAACATTCAACTACTGACTTGATGTTAGATGCAATGCCATCACAACACTGGAAAGGTTCAAAATTAACATTCATATGACACTGATTGAATGTTCGTTTGTGTGCTAGGTCGTGTTTTCCATGCGTCTTCCATCTTCCTATTCAGACGAGAGATTTGCCCTGTATGCACCATTCTTTGGTTGGACTCGTATCCCCCCTTTCCTGGATAGTGAAGAATGGAGAAGTCCTATTTCCATAGGATTCCATTCATCAGATGACCCAGGAAACCAGCCACCTAAAGACATCGCTGCCAGCAATCAATGGAAGTGGTCATCTGAGGGTGCAAGTTCAATTTGAAAAATATATGCTGAATTGCAAATCCTTCTCCTCAAGTTCCAGCTGTATAAAGTGGTGAGTCCTCAACCGTAAGTCTTGTAGGACCTGGAATAATTTTATTATTTCCTTCTGTAGACATTATAACACAGAGATAGAAGTGAATCCCTGTGGTATATGGGCAATAACAGGTAAGAACCACTAATACCCTAGAGCCAGACAATTTTCCAAGCAGAAATTAGTCATGCGGACCAAGTGTATATCAGACTTTATTATTTATTCATGTATTCTCCAATAACCTCAGAAGGCTCACCTCAAGGTATTCATGTTAACTTTTCTTCAATGCACCCATGGAATATAAAAATCCAGGAAGCATTTAAGCTTGGCTATTTAAAAGTTTGACTGTATTCCTTTTGTATGCCATGCATTATTGCTGGAGATTCATATCCCTTCAAGAGAATATAATTTCTACTCGTGTTGTGGGTGTGTTCCAAAGCTGAATTCCAGTTGCAGCATCTGGGCCAGCAGATTTGGAATTGTTGTCATCTCCATGTCTTTGTTGCTTTCTGACTTGAGGGAGCTTCTGCCTCTGCTCAACCATATCTCTGATTTGAGCCTAAAATATTTATCTTCATAATGTCATGTGAAAATATCCTTGTATCCTCACACAAGTGCCATTTGGTCTTCAAATTATGAACATTTGAGAGTGGGCTTGCAATGAAATTACTAACAGCAAACCATCAAACTTCAAGTGTAGACTGAAGACCATCAGGTTCTATCATATATGATTTTGTTCCTTGTGAGCTTACCATGTCATTATGATGTTGTCTGGAGCACTTTATTTACTTACTCCCGTGAAGATTACCATTTTACGGTGGAAGTTCACTTGAGCCAGTGCATAGTCATGGCACATTACATTATTTTTTCTTCTTGAGTGTCCTGTTTTACTAGTTTTTTTCCTGCTTGATATGGATCATGTTTTCTTTATAGAATTTGCAATCCCATGTGAACTACCTTTATTCTCTTTGTGACATGATTTCTTTCCAACTCCACAAGCAAAATTGGGCCCCTAATAAATGCTTAGCTTGAGAGTGATGGAATAATATTATTTTTTATTTTTTAAACTTTCAGTCTCTTTTGCTAAGCATAACTCAGAAAAGCAAAAGCTTGTCCCTTTATGTCATAGATTGCCCCTTTACTGCATGATTTTTTATTTTTATATATAAACATTTTTATAAACTCAGAAAAATGTGCTAAAAACATGAAAAAATCTTAATAATCTAACATATGGGAAAATAATTTCTTAATAAAATATGATACACTATACAGCTAATACATGGTACTTCTGTACATTATATACATTATTTTTGTATAAAGTTATAGAATGGATACCTCACTATTTGTTGTTTCTAATAGCTATGAAATTTATTTTCCTATTAAAGAATTCCACAACCCAAAAATTAATCTCTCATCATATTCACAGTATTTTATGATGCTATAACCATGGCATAGCTTCATATGTTTCACTCCTCAGAGTCCATGGTATAGGAGTTCTTCCTTCACTTAACAGATGGCAAAAGTTGCTTGAATTCTCTTCCTCACAATGTGACAAATGTGCCCCACTCTACTGTCCGGTGAAATTATTCAGTATCATGCTGTCGTTGGAGAAATACTGGTTTGTGACATATAGGTATATATGACCCACAATGTTGTCAAGGGTTAAATCTTTCCAGGTACTTTTCATTCAAGTGACTGTATTTTGTCAAGTTCACCAAAGCCATGATTTCAAATTTGAATTTCTTGAACTTTCAGACTCCTGAGAGCCATTCTTCGTCATCCTGTGACAAGGAGAAAACATGAGGGAAAAGGGAAACTTTTCCATCTGAGATGGCCTCTTCAATTGCATGCAGCAAGTTGTGAGCTCACAGACTCTGCTATTTGATTACACTTATGCCTATCAATGTTTTTCGTTCTGAACTGGATGCTATCTGTTCATAGGTGGTGATTCCATGACAGATGATGAAATTTCAATGAAGTTTCAATCTGGATCCTTACCTACTCCTAAAGTAACTACATGGAAAATCTGTTACATCTTACTCTCATTTAGTCCAAATTTCCAGTTCCACCCATCATAGGATGGAATAGAAAACAGCCCCTTTGTGAGGCTACCTAGTACCCATCTACAAGTTATTACAGTTTGAGGGTCATATGCCTTTTATGGATTCTCTCATTCTGTTTCTTGGCATTGTAAATCCAAATAAGTTATTGAATTCTGCAATATCACCATGGAAACAAGGGTTTGTTGGGCATCAAAGTTCAGATTGAGGGCCTGGCTCTTTTGTTATAGTTATCTTGCACATACATGAAACTGCTCCAATGAATCCACACTCACCCATTTGATTTTCCTTGTGTGTTTACATAGGCAGAATATGATGAGCTCAATTAAGATGGGAGAAAAAGAGACGAACCATTGTTTGTGGGTCTGAGGGGGCCCTTCCATTCTTGAATTGTGATGGGAAGAGTCTGTTCTTACACCGTTCAAGAAAGTCTGTTACTGGATGAATGAACCCTTTGTCCCTTACCACAGGGTCCAGTGTCCATCTCCTCTGTAAGATCAACATGTCTGGCTTTCATCACTTTGGATATGGTAGAGAATCCTTTATATACAGGGTGGTCTAAAAATATCTACTAAAGTCATGTTTATTTTTTTCTTCAGATTCATGTATTCAGTTTTGAATGAATGACTCTGAAGCAAAAATAAAAATAAGTACATGAGTTGACTAGGTGTTTTTAGATCACCATGTGTATATAGGTGCAAGGGAGTTGGAACCAAAAATCCCAAGGTTGCATGTAATGAATCAACCTTCTGTTGACCTGTAACATTTGCATCCTCTGCTCAGTGCACAATGTTGACCCATGTTGGAATCGATGGAATGGTGTGCATTGTATGAAGAAACCATTAAATGAATACCATAACAGAAATGTATTGATGACAGCTAGACCTCAGAGAAAATACAGACTTCCTAACAATTCCATCAGTCAGACCTTGGGAGCTCTTGCCCATGCCTTGAGAGAGGGACAAGAGGAAGTCAGTGCCTCATGGGTCATTGATGACTTTCTGGCATAGTACTCTGTAGTGCCATGTGAGTCACCCTTGGCAATGAAGCTCTTAAAGTGATGAAAGTACCAGTGAATATTGGTTGATGTAGAAGATGACCAAAGGAGCAAATTAATTAGCAGGAAAATTATTTGTTTATTCTCATAGGAGCCTTTTTCCAACTCAAATGGATTACACGATAGATTTTTTGTGCAGAGGAGTTTTATCAAAAGGTTTCATTGGAAATCTCACCTTCACTAAGATGCTCCTGAATTTTCAGGCTTCTGGGAATTAACAGATGGTCTCTTGTCTGCTCACATGGTATTTAAAATTGTTGATGGCAGTGGCATTTGTTGCAGAATATAGATGTCTGCATGATGCATTCCTTGGTATGGGGCTTGAAGTCTGGAAACCTGCAGGACTTCATCTCCAAATTTTTTACTCTGCCGGGGTGGGATTGTTGCATCTGTCGCATGTCCGCGATGATCCCATTGTGCCGTACAGAAGCCACTCTGGGAAGTTTCTTCTGCCTTGTTCTCCATCCCTGAATCTGATTTGGACTGGTTCAGAGGATGAAAGGCATCTGCAAATGAGAGTGTGCATATGAAGTGGCCAGTGGCCATTTCATTTGCTGCAGTGGCAAGTGAGGGAACCAAATTAGATCTTCCTGTTCTCATGGAGGCAGCACGGAATGCTCTCTGCCCAAGCTGTGCGACGACCTTCTTGCCGACATACACGATCTGTCGACATCCTAACACAGGGAGCTTGTAGCCGAGCCAAGTTTGTTCGTTAATGATGGAATACCTTCCTGTTCCATCTGGTGAAGAGAAGCACGATACTTGTCGGTGGAAAGACCCAAAGTTGACAGAAACACCTAACTTAACACTTTGAGTCCTGAGGATTGAAACGCCCAGCCAACCTCTCACTGCCAAGCACTTTTCAGAATGGCAGTGGAAGTTTCCCACCCTGAACACATCGAGACTGCTGGGGATTGAAATTTCCAGCCAAACTCTCTTTACAAAACATTTCTCCTGTGCCAAACATGCCACATGGCGTGAACGGCAATCAAAAGGGTAACATATCTCCTTAGTCTCACCCCTACCTCTTCTAGGGCCATGTTGGAACTGCCACAACTGACCCATTTCTTATTCATATTTATTGAATTCATTTCCTTTGGGAAAAATGTCAAGATGACTGCTGAGGGGGTTTCTGACTTGGGGTAATTTCATTGTGCATCTCAACTGACCTTAGATACAATATGTCTGCAGACCCTACTTTGCCCCCATTCACTCTAAATTAATTAACCAATATTTACCTCTTTATATATGTATGGTAAGTGCTCAAGCCTGACATAGATCAATGAGACATCAGCCACCAACCATCAGTCAGGATAGTACCGATTACATAGTGATGGGGTCCCCCCCCCCCCGAGTCAGGATCTCCCAACTCCCTCATGCTTCAAGCCGACTTGCCCGTGTAGCATCGCTGAGATATGGGACCGTCTGCAAGCTTTTTATGGTATCTTGAAGGAAGGAGTGGCTGTGTCTGCAGCCCGGGGATCCCTCTCAGGATTCCCTTCACTCCAAGTACACCGACATTCTTAAATTACTGCCATGTCTTAAGTTACTACCATGTCGTGTGATCTCCACTCCTGATAAATGACATCGTCCGCTTCCCTTCCCGCTCGTCTAATTCCCTTAAGTAATTTTTTGAACAGCGCCCCCTTAATCATTCATCATTGTTGCCCCCTTTATTTATTCAGGAAAGGTGTTTTTTTAAAAAAAGATCGGTGATGAACCGAAAATGAGAACCCTCGCCATCCTCGCCTTCCTCCACCTCTCCCCCCTCATGTCCGCCTCGAACGACACCTCGACCCCCGAGACCGGGAACTCCACGATCCCAGCCGGGAACTCGACGACCAAAGCCAACCGCTTCGAGACGGCCTACTCCCAGCTGATGAAGCCGGGCGCGGCGACCAGAGGCTTCTACGTCCTCCTCGGGCTCATGGTCATCGTGCTCATCTACTTCGTCTTCCGCGCCTTCAGGTACGTCCCTGCAGTGTTGCCAAACCCTTTCCTCGAATCCAACTCGTCTCGCGCGTAGTCTGTGCACAGTGTTGCCAAAACCTTGCCTCGAATCCAACTCGTCTCGCGCGTTCTATTCGCGCAGTGTTGCTGAAGCCAATTGATCTCGCGCAGTGTTGCTGAAACGAATTCGTATCGCGCAGTGTTGTTGAAACCAATTCGTCTCGCGCAGTGTTGCTTCATCGGAACCAGCTGGGATAGTGGTCGCATTTACTTCCGGGAGTTCCCTCGTAAATAAGCTTTTCGCACAGAAATGAAAGTATTCCGTTTCGGTTCCGTAATATCCATACCGTCATGCACAAAAGGGCCTTTGTCTTCGCGGAGACAAATGGTGTCGTCCCAACCCCCCCCCCCCTTCCCCCCCGCGGTTTGCTTTCTCACCTCTGTCACCTTGGATCCCTTTTTTTTTCCGCGCGTCGGCGATCGAGACGTTTCGTCAGCGTTCAGTGGAAGAAATTATCTACGGTACCATTTTAAAATGCGGCTTCCCGTTCGAGACTCGGCCGATGTTGGCCAAAAGTTAGCAAATATGTAGAATATGTCGGCTTTGGATGCTTCCTGCGTCCCGCCGATAAGCCGGCGGAAAATGACGCTTTACGACCCTCGACGTCGCAGGACGAACCGACTCGACAAACACGCGAATGTGCGCGGTTAATCCCCCCATTCCGCATTTCGACACGGATGACCCCGCGCCGACCGGACGGGTTGCGTGACGCAATGCCGTCGACTTTCGAGCGAGGCCCGGTTGTGTCTCGTCGGCGTCGTGGGTCTTAATCAATAGGGTTGCAGTAAAAAAAAAAATAATTGTAATTATAATTATTGAGAATGATAATAATCTTATGAAGGCTGAAGAATTTGAATGTTCCTCATTAACTAATTTCGAAGGTATTTCGTGCAGTTATTCGCCGATCGCCGTCGAAACATCTCGCGCGACCCGTGTGACGGTTTATTCGAACCGGCCGTGAACGAATCCGAGGGTCCATTCCCGCCGCGGCGACGAATCGTCGCCGGTCGCCGAGCCAGCGGGAAGGATCGCGTCCTCGTCCGCCGGGAGGGACGAGGAATGCGAGGACGTCCGCTGGACTTCCTCCGGCCGGCGAGTGCAGCACGACGATAAGGCTCGGCGGAGGGACGAGTGCGTGGTAAATAGCTCGCTGTAATCGTGGAAAAATTTCCACTTGGGGGCAATCGAGGCGAGGGCGTCGAACGTCATCCGATCCTTGCCGGATGCGTTCGCGTGCCGCGCGTGAAACCGGGCTGGATCTAACCGGGTCGGCTGGATTTGGGTAGAGGATGTATTTTAAGGGAGGTTGGGGTTGAGCAGTCTAGTGGGGGTTTTTTTTGCGGTGTTTGGTGATTTGGTCTCTTCTTGCTTCAGTTCTCGGATGATTCTCGGATGCTAGTTTTAATTAATCCGCTAATTAAGTCGAGTTTGAGGGTTTTGCGTCGGTGCGAACGTCTCGGAGCGGTTAACGTCGCGAAGAGTTCTCGCGTTGGATTTCGAGTCGGGGGCGTTTTCCGTCGCGTCACGGCCTCGGTCGGCGTCCGCGCTATTTTGCGCCCTGTTTCCAGCCCCGCGGGAAACTCGACGCTTCGGAAAACACGGCGGGGGGTGAACATCGCCTCGAAATGCGAAGGAGAGCGAGACTCTTGTGCAGTCACCCCACGAAAGGGGAAGAAACGCGCGTTCGAGCGTGAGGAGTTTTCCGCTTCGAGCCTCGTTATCCCCGCGTCGCGCTCGAGCGCTCGCGCGATCGCATTCGACCCGTCACCCCGACCCGTCAACCCGACTCGTCTTCTCCTCCTAGGGTCCGACGATCCAGCCGCCGGTCGACGGGAGCGAAGGGATCGCGAAGGGGAAGCGGCGAGTTCCAGCGTCTGGAGGAAGAGAGCGGCGGCGAGGACGAGGAGGACGCGCTCTTCCACAAGCCCATCGCCCCTTCCTCCTAGGTGGTCCAAGCGACTCGGTGGTCGGGGCTTCCTCCTCTTTGCACTTTCCTTCTCTCCCCTTTGTGTGGTGCGGGTGGAAGGGGGGGCGGAATCGGGTGAACTGTGATACGGTGAGGCAGGGAGATGGAGCGTTACCGAGTGTGCCGAGCGAGTGTACCATCCACTCGGTCGGATGGTACACTCGAGAATATAATATTTCACATGATGAATTTATAAATTAACAACCACACGGAGACGGGTATCTGTCACAAGGGCATTGAGCAGAATAAAGTCATTTTTTCAGAGATGTCTCTCGCGATGTCGTGCAGGGTGTATCTGTATATTTTTTCAGTGTATTTTTCATCATCTTTCCATGTTTCGTATTTCCGCACGATCGGCCGAAACGATCCCGATCTCACCGTTGTCCCTTTCGTATTTGTGATGATGGAAAAACTCCTGCGAACCCGCTTCACGTCTTTCATCGTGAGAATAAAGCGCACATATTCCCGAAGGAAAATCCTCTTACGCTTGATGAATGGCTGACATGCAAAGGGGGCATTTTCTCTCTTCCCCCTCCTCCCCCGCGGGGTCAGGGGTCAAAGGTCGACAGCGTGATGGTGTGAGAGATGGTCAGAAACGAGACAGGAAATGGGAATGGCCGCGTGGGACGAACGGATTTGACCTTCCACCCGCGTTCCCCGTCCCACCGGACATGGCGTGAGGTGTTTACAAATATGTGTGAATTCTTTTCTTCCCCCTCTTCCGCTAAACGCCATAACAATAAACCGTGCATTTATTTTACACGGGCCGGTATCGCGTTTCGAATATGCCCATAAATCGAAGGAAGCAATCGCATGAGCGCATTCTAATCGAGACGAGAGGAATTCTCGCAACTGCATCGCACCCGAGCGGAATGGAGGTGTGACGGGGCGATGCAGGGCCGCGGGCCGCTTTGCGGGACCGCAGGCCGAGGGCGACGCGGGCCCGCAATGCGGTCGTCCCGCCCCCACCTCCATCCACAACCTCCAGCTGCTGCATTCATCCCGAGCCAGAGCCATTCGCCGTCGGGCTGTCGTCGCGTTCGCATCTCGCGTGTCGCTCGTGTGCAGTCCTCGTCGCTCTCCTTGCTCGTCATAACGACATATATTCCAGGTCAGTCTCTCCCTTCTCGTCCGTCGAGGTGTCACCGTGGAAGACGCGAAATCCGCTTCGGTCAAGGCCGAGGCACATCCGATTTCAAGGTTTCACCTTGGAATGCCCACACCCGAATCCGTGTCAGGGCCCAACAACGAAGGGATTCTGACGCCCCGCGTTTCTTTTTTTTTTTCGACTGTTTGCCGAGCCTTCGCACCCGTGGAAGGGGAGTAAACTCAGAAATGTAAAAAATAAAAAAGAAAACCTTTTATTTCGTTCACTTGGTTGTGCCCGAGGGGAATTTCTCTCCTAGTTTTTTTTTTCTTAGAATACAATAGGTAAAAATGTGAAAATATGAGGGAATAGACTGGAAGGAGACTGGGCGTGTTTATTTCCTCTTCCTTTCTCCTTGTTCGTTCTGACACGTCTGCCGAGGCGGAAATGCCTTATCCTTGGAGATAAGAGTGACTCACTCACGCCGCTTATGGGTCTGTGGCAGGTGTCACGAGGGGCCGCAATTGTGGGGCAGGGACGATCGCCTCGACGAGGTTGATGATTCGCGGGACCCGGAAGATGCCACCGTCTTCTCGTATGTCGGGCACGAATGCGAAATCACGCCCCCGGGGTGGAATTACGTTTTGGCACGACTCGGGGCTGGGTGGGTCCGGATGATGGAACACCTCTCGTCGAACGTGAGCCGCATTAGAAAGAAAAAAAAAAAAACGTGGAAGGGAAGACCTTGGCATCGCCGACTTATTTTCCGGTTTAATGCGACGTACCGCGCTGTAACGGGGAAAGCAGCTGTCAGGAATCCTTTTTCGACTGGGACGGGGATTATCCCATCAGGGGAGAGGCAAATTGAACGTCGACACTTTGGTAAATAACTTCGACCCTTTTCCTCCCCTTCCCCATTCATCCGGGGCTTCGGAGGGGGGGGGGGGGGGGGGATTTGTCGTAGGCGGGGGGATGGNGGGGGGGGGGGGGGGGGGGGGGGGGGGTATTTGTCGTAGGCGGGAGGATGGAGACAAAACACGGGAGGAAATGGAGGATAATCCTCCCTGCCCCGTTTCCGGCCCTGATTGACATCCTTTCAGGGAGGGAACCTCCGCAGAGGGGACCTCCACCCACCCGGTGGAGGACCTCCTCGCCTCGCCCAGATGTCCTCCCTTGGGGGATGTTTGCCCCGACAAAAGGGAGGGAAACGGAAATGGCGGGGGCCCCCCCACACCAAACAGCCATCGCAATCCGGTGTGAAACAATTCCCGGGTGGCGCAATATCCGCCCGCACGAGAAAACCCAGGACGTCGCCCGTCCGGCCCCGTCCCGACTCGGTCCGTTAATGAAGTAGAATCGACGAAAGGATGAAGACCGGTCCGTTGATTAACGACTGCGGAAGGCAAGAGTCCGTTAGAAGCACGGAAGGAGAACGAGGCTCGGACGTCTTCACCGACCGGAAAAACAGAGATCGCTTCTTTCAGAAAATTTCTTCCCCCCCCCCCCCCCCCTCCCCTCCTTTTATCTCAAGGTGAAAAGGACTTCCTGTCTTGTGCTAATGACCCAGGGTCCTTTCACGCACCTGCCCACCTTTATTTATTTTCGAGCCCCGAAAATCCTAAGCTCCTCTCGCGGAGTCACGTTTCCTCCACAAATTCCACCCGTCGTAATTGATTATTTATTTTTATTCCTTTTTTTTCCGCCTTATTTAGACTCGGCACCGGGCGAGTCGGCCTTGACAGGTCCTTAAAGAAAAAAATGGCTCGTCTGCCCTCGAGGCCTGTTTTCGGGCCAAGCCCAGCCACTCTCTCGCCCCGTGTGTTCTATGGTGGTCTCATTCCGTTCCGTGATCGTGCGGAATCTTCTGCTTCATTCCTTTGTGCCTGCCAATGTCTTGTCCCTTCTGTCCCCTTGTCCCCAGTCCCTTGTCCCCTGTCCCCTTGTCCCGTCCTCTGTCCGTGTTTTCGAGCAAATTATGGCAAATTTTCTTGTGTACGAGATCGATTTTCTCTCATGAGTTATGTTAACTTCAAGGATTTCCCCGGAGGCTGTTTAAACGCACGCGTGTGCATCTTTTCCCTCGAAAAAGAACAGGAAAACAGTCATTAGCTCACACGAGTTCCTTCCTGTGTCCACTGCGCCATCCCTTTGTTCTCCTGAGATATATGGGCCGCCTGGGATTCGTATGGGCCGCCTGGGATTCCGAAGGATTTTTTTTTTTTAATCTCCGAAGTGGCGCTCCTGGACATGACTTGGCGTTTGATGCATATTTGGCGTGGGAGGGGCCTCTGGGCGCGTGATGAATGGAGTGGGGGGGATCCTGCCTCGGGGTCGAATGAATCAAGAATCAGATGCTTCCTTTCAATGAGAGGGGTGGGTCGTTTTCTGTTTGTAGAGGGGGGGATGGGTAACGTGGTTTTTTTTAATATCATGTCCGTGGAAAAGTTATTTGAATTTTTTTATTTGAAAGTTTTTGTATTAAATAAAAATATAAAAGGGATGATTTTGAACGGTCTGGTTTGGCAGGTGATGGTGAGAGGATGAAGAGGTGGAGTCTGTTGATGGTGTTGGGGGTGGTGTCCGCGGTGCCGGTGTGGAGGTGTCCGGTCCCGGACTCGGAAGCCGGATCGCCGCCGTGCTCCTGTGATATCCCGCACACGATGAGGTGCGTGACGAGGGCGAAGGACGCGGATCCGGATCGGGTGTTGGTGGGGGTGATACACGGGTTGAGGGGGTTGGAGGGGGAGGAGGGGGTGAGCCTGCTGGACCTGTCGCTGCAGGGGGTGAGACGCCTGCCGGAGGATGGGTTCGGGAACGTGAGTCTGCAGGGGCTGGTCGTTTCCACGGGGGACTTGGTGATTCCGCCGGATGCGTTTCGGGGGTTGGCGATGAGACTGGTGGCGTTGGGGCTGCCGGGTAACGGGCTCAAGGTGGTGCCGATGCAGGCGTTGAGTCCCTTGACCGGGCTGCAGAGGCTGGATCTGTCGAAGAACGAGTTGGAGTCCGTTCCGGCGTTTCGGACTTCCCTGGACGATCTGGAGCTGCTGGATCTCTCGAGCAACAAGATCTCGAAGCTGGCGCCCTATGCGTTTGCGGGGCTGAAGAGCCTGAGGAGCCTGTCGCTCAACAACAACAGTCTGGACGCGGAGGCGCTGAAGATCCCGCTGGTCAGGAACGGATCGTCCAGGCTGGAGGAATTGTCTCTGAGGGGGAACGGACTGAAGGGAGCCGTGACGCCGGATTTCCTCCCGCCGCTCGACGGCCTCAAGAGCCTGGACCTGTCAGAGAACGACCTGAGCTGGGTGAAGCGGGGAGCCCTGGGCGCCTCCACGCCCTTCCTCCGCCGGCTGATCCTCGCGGGCAACCAGGTGGAGGTGGTGGAGGACGACGCCTTCGCCCACCTCCCGAAGCTGGCCTTCCTCGACCTCAGTCGCAATCGGATGGTGGCCGTGTCCGCTCGGTCGCTCTCGGGGCTGGGAGGCCTCAGGGTCCTGCGCCTGGATCACAATCATCTCAGGGCCATCACTGGGGATCTCGTCGGGGGGCTCACGGCGTTGCAGGTCCTGGGGGTCAGGGATAACGATATCTCCATCGTCGAGGGGCGGGCCTTCGCGAACGCCACGGTGCTCAAGAAGATCGAGTTACACGGTGAGAATCCATTCCTTTTTTTATTGGCTTGGTTTTTACGTTTTTGTGGCACAAAATATATTACATTAAAAAATTAAGTATTTCGAGGTAAATGTTCTCGAAATTTTATCACGGCCGATGAAGACACTTCTCATCGCGATACGACGGAAAGCGTATTTTGAGAAACGCTCATCGAGTTGAGATAGTGGAATCAACTATTCCACTACGAATGAGGTCGAGCCACGTGGAAAGATCATTCGCCGCGAACCCGAAGTGGATCCGGTCGCTTTCGGTACTTCGGAAGTACTCTTGATATTTTTAATTATCTCTCGCTTACGTCAATACCGGCCCCTCCTTTCCGCTGACGTAATTGCGTAAACGCTCATTTTATGAGTGGCTTGGCAGTATACGGCTTCCAAGTATCAATGATGGCGATAGCAGTAAATGGCGGTGATAAATTTGATTGCTACAATAATGGCCATCATATGAGCAACGGGCAACATGGTAACCGCCCTGCCCTAAAAAATGCTATTTAAAAATTTCTTTTGTTCCGACGCGAACCGTCTCGTGGCCCACCGTTCGTAGCCCACTGCCTCACTGCCTTCCTCGAAGACGGAAGGATCCTGCGGGTGTCCCCGTTAAGGAGCCGCGTTAAGGAGTCACGTTAAGGAGTCACGCTTCTCCCCGCCGTGGAAGTCGTGCCTGGACTTCTTATCGCGTCTATTAGAAAAAGCGGGGAAGAGGGGAGGAGGGCATGGGTGGAGTCGCCGGTGGAGGGAGTCGCGGCGACTCCTCCCCTGCCCGGATCGATCCCTATCGAACCTGTTTCCCCAGCCCTGAACCTCCCTGAACTCTTGATTTATTTTTCTGGGGGAAATTCGAAATGGGGGGGAAGGGGGGGTTGCGCGCTTCCCGGAATGGGCAATTTCGGCTGGGAATTTCGCGTGTTGTTGGAGCGTGTCTAATGGAAGATGAACGCTGTTGTTGGGTGTCTTCTCTTCGGAAAAAGATGAGGAATGTTTCCACTCTAATTGCGGGGATTCGGTTCTCTAATTACCTAATTGCATGCCGACCGAACGTCCTTTGTCCCTTTTTTTTCCGTTTCCTCTTTCGTTGAAGGCTTGTTGAAATCTTTTTCCGAAGTGGAACATTTTTTTTTATTGTGCCGAAATGGTGCGCTTTATCTTATTGCGCGAGCCGCGTTCGTCGTTGACAGATAAGAAAATTTTTGGTCGAGGAGTTTTCTTTTGTCTTGCATTTCACTTGATAGAGAAACATGACGGAATCTTGGACGGTGTCCTTATTGGGATGGAGGTCGAGGGAGAAAGGGGAGGGAATGAATGTGGTCGGAGGAGATTCCTCCCTTTCTTTTTTTTCCCCGTTTGTTCGCGGATGGAGGGGGGACTTTCTCTCTCTCTGGGGTTGTGGGTGGATGCGGGGCGGGGACACGCCGGGTGGGGGGGCCACGAGCGGGATGCGAAGGGTCCACACGAGGGGTCGGGACCCGGGGATGATTCATTCATGAGCGGATCGGGCGGGTTCCATCCATCACGGCCTCGTTTCTGGGATGAAAAGATTTTTCTTTCCGGGCTGGGAGGCGGCGTCGAGTTCGACCCCGAGGCGGGATTGATGGATGGAACAAAAAGAGTTTAGTGATAGGGTTTTGAGTACATTTTTCGTCTGTCGCGATGAGAAGGGGCGATTGCCTGAGCCAGAAATATCGGTCATATCGCTAAAAAAAAAAAAAATGAATGGCCACGTGTGCAGGTTACCGGTCCGATAAGATCGACTGCGATCTCATTTCACACCGACTCGTTTCTCTCCCCGACAGACAACCCACTTCACTGCGACTGTCGCATGGCCGAATTCGGGTCGTGGCTGTCGCGGAACCCGTACCTGTCCGAGGAGGAAAAGGCGTCGGCGGTGTGCGCGACGCCGCCCGTGCTGGAGAACGCGGTGCTGTCGCGGCTCGAGGCGTCGCAGCTGACGTGCGAGGACGATCTGCACGGGTACTACCCGGGGGAGGCGACGCGGGTCCACCGCGATCCGCCGGAGTCGCACTTCAAGCTGGAGGTCGAGGAGGCGTTCTACGACGGGGAGGAGTTGAACTTGGAGTTCGGGGTGGACGCGGACGTGGGGACGGCGTGCAACGCGCTCTTCGTCTACGAGGAGGTGTCGGGAGCGGATCTCCTCTTGGAGGCGGTGCCGGTGCCGGCGTGCAATCGGTCGATGGGGGGGAGGAGGATACACGTGGCGTTCGTGGACGTGGAGTTGGTGCAGGGGAGGCGGTATCGGTTCTGTCTGTCGGTGGTGAAGAGCGAGGCGAAGGCGGACGACGAGGCGCTGTGGGTCGGGTGCTCGGATCCGACGACGTTGCGAAGGGGGGCGGTGGCTCCGGAGGTGACGTCGTCTGGGAGGGCCGGAACGGCTTATAAGTCGAGGATCACGGCCTTCTATGCGAACATGAGTGCGGGGAACAGCGTGTCCGTGTTCCTTCGACTGGATTCCCGAGAGAAGGAAGACTCGGAATGCGGGATCCAGTTGATATTGGAGGCGGGGGAGGAGAAGATCTCCGAGACCGTCCTCTGCAACGTGACGAAACACGACTTCAAGCACGTCCCGCCCTCCGACACGTACAGATCGTGTGCGAAAGTGCTGGGCGAGGAACGGGACTTCACGTGCGTGGACGTGGTGCTAACGGGGGCGGGGAGCGTGAGCGTGACGGCCATCGTGCTGACGGCCCTCTTCGCCGTCCTCTGCGCCCTGGCCGTGCTGGCCATGTACGCCGTCGCGCGTCACGTGGTGAAGGCGAGGAAGCGGACGGCGATACTCGATCCGGATTCGCCGTGGATGAGGACGAGACGGCGATTTTATTCCACGTATTCGTCGTCTTCGTCGTCTGCTGACGAACAGAGGTGATTTTGAGGGACGAGTGAGGGAGATATTTGATGTGCTCAGGGCGATTTTATTTATTTATGATCGCCGTTTCGTATCTTCTAGTCATGCGTGTCTGAATAAACCAGATCTTTTTTTATATGAAAACTGGGAATTTTTTTTTAAGCGAATGAGAAAAATCGTGACGAAATCCCTGGAATCCGCAGCGTAACGGAACAGGTTCGAATTTCGTTTCGGGATCCACGCTCCAGGTCTCACGTTGCCGACAGAATCGGGTAAGATCGAGGTTAACCGGCTGGTCACCGGCCGGTCATCGGACCGAGGCGGCGACGAGCGCCGCCCCGCGCCCGCTGCCGTCCTCGGAGAGGCATAGCTCGACTTCCGTCCCCGGACCCAGCAGCTGCTGCGTCTTCTCCTGCATGATCCTGGCGAAATGCGGGTGATGGCGGAAGAGGGAGCCGTCGACAGCCGCGACCACGGGCGATCGCTCGACCCTCCTCGCGACGGCGGCCACGGCGGCCGCCGCGAGATGGGCGGCGCGTCGCGACACGGCCCGACACACGTACCGCACCGTCGCACAATCGTGCACCGTCGGCTCGGACACCCCCACCTCTTCCAAGATCTCCCTTGCCATCACCCGATGATGCGGGCCGTCCGACTCGATCTCGGAGACGTACTTCGTCGGCACGGACCCCTTTTCCCTCAACTGCAGGCACCTCCTCCCCTCGAACACCAACCCCTCCTCCCTGAGCCCCAACAGGACGACCCTGACCAACTCCCCCAGGTACATCCCCGAGACGAGCTTCTCCAACACGTGCTCCCCCGGATGGATCGACGCCGCGTCGACCACCCGATCGAACTCCGTCCTCACTCCCTCCAACTCTCCCTTTTCCCCAAATGCTCCCATCTCCGTGTTCACCACCATCGTCCCCTCCTCCGCCCTCCCCTCCTTCGTCCTCCCCGCCTCCCCCTCCATCCCCCCGACCCGAGACGCCTTCTCCACGTAGCAGACGTTGAACCCCGTCCCGACGATGACCCCCACCGACGCGTTCCGCCTGTCCCACGCCTTCGAGACCAGCGTCCCCGTCGTGTCGTTGATCACCGCCTTCACCTCCACCTGCGCAGAAACGGTGAAACCCGTTCGAGCTCGGCAAAAACTAATCGCACGCGCGATGGCAAATATTTTCAGAATTCGCACAAATCCTTAAGTCCACAAGTCGTCGAGATAACTCGAGGTATCGCTTATAGATTTTGTCGAGCCGGGAAAACAAACTTATTTGAACTGCGCAGGTTATGCATATATACAAAATTACAAACAACAGCGACGAAAGTACAAAATACATATGCGAACCGGAACATGCGAATGCAGGATGCACGATCAGGATAAGATAAGACGCATTTCTCCTGCTTTTAAATGAAATGACTCATTCGACCATGATATGCAAGCAATAGAATTAAAACCGCGCTGCCCTCTTGCCGGAACGACCACTCTGCCTCTTCACGAGAGTTCCCAAATTTCGAATATAAATTCTGCTAATTTTTCCTCCAAAGCAACGGTCTTTGACGAAGGAGGAAACAAAGGGGATAATGATACGTCGATGCCGGGTCGCCGGTCGAGCGCCTCCTGAAGCATCCCCCCGACGTCCCTCCCCTCCACCCCCTCGCAGGCGAACCCCTTCGTCCACCGCACCAGCCTCCCCCTCGCCAGGCCCTCCTGCCTGCACGGGAACGAGAAGGTGAACCCGAGCGGGACCCCCCTCAGCCCCCGCTCCTTCGCGAAGTGCTCGATGCAGTCCACCAGGTGCGAGAAGAGCGACTCCCCCCGACCCGTCATCACGGACGCCGGCACCGCATAGATCTTCGAGTCTTGCTTCAGCTGCCTGCGAGTATAGGCGAGTGAGTCGTTCGGGCGGATAGCGTGTAACAACTTTATGCTTGAATTCCTTCCCCCCCCCATGATTTGACTGGAAGGTTTTCACTTCAAAGCTGTCAGAATATCCGAATTCAGTGGAAAACTCATGTCGGTAGAATCTGAATTGATCTTGTATCGTTGAAACGACTTCACATTAAAAAAAAAGGACAATGGTCACCAAGGGCTAGATTAGGGGGCACGATAAAGGATGTCACTCGTAAGTTTTCGTAATTAGTAATTACTAATTTGATAGCTTTTCGTTCTGCACAGACCCATCAGGCCCGATCTCGACGTGAAGGACCCGGAAGTTGGTCCCTCCGAGATCCAAAGCGAGGAAATTTCCCCTTTCCTTCCCGGTTGGCAGAGTCCGCACGTAGGTCGGGTAACACTTGACCGAGGATCGGTCTCGCCTCGACTGCCGCAGGCCGTCCTTCAGAGCCCGCATCATGGATCCGCAGACCTGCGAGGCCGGGAATCGAATATGCCGGAGGGGAGTCGAATACGCCGTCGAGGGTTACCTGATTCAGTTGGGCGTCGCTCAGGGTGAAGGGTTTGCATCGTTCTATCACGGCGAGTTTCCTCTTGTCATCGTACTCGGACCTCAGCTTCTCGAGCGCTGATAATTTACTTTTTCCGACCCCTTCTTTCGCGTCCTTCTTTGACATGTCGTTCCCTAGGTTCTCACCCAATTGTTTGCTCTAATCCCGTGAAACAAGGGAAACATTCTGAAGAGTGTCGAAGATTCATTAATGTTCATCGTTCAGTCTTAGAATGTTACATTTTGTGTCAGTTAATTCTGTCACGGCACAGCAGCATTTCTTTGTTCCCATTCGGTCAATCACTCTTATGACCCGACTCAGCTGACAACTAGCACCAGTTTCTGAAGCAGACGACGCTTGCTTGCACAGGCAGCTATAGCAGACGACGCGCGCACGTGACCCATTTCATCATGGCCGCCTACACAGGACCGTGCGGTTCACGATGGGCCACGATCGATTACGAAGTGAAGCCCATTCATGATTGATTGACAGGGCTGAGACGCTCCCTTATTGTACCTGCGACGTGATTCACTCTCATTAGAGGGGAGATGGCCGATCCCCCTGTAAAAAAGGCGCTTGTGTATCCGGGAAAGAAGGAGGTGGAATTCAAAAATGAAGCCAAGGTGAGTCAGTGTGTGAAACGCTTAAAACGCATTTGCTAAGTGTTAAAAAAATGTCATATTTTATTCATATCAGGCCTAAAATATAGAATTCACAGTATCTGGTTGTGAACGTTCCTCTTCTCAGGCCATTTTCCACTTCACAACATTCAAATGCGATCAGAAGACAGGTGAGTACGTTGAGGTGGATAACAGCAGGAAGTTCACAAAACCCATGGAACTCATCATTGGGAGGAGTTTCAAGCTGGAAGTGTGGGAGACCTGCATCAAAACTATGAACCTCGAAGAAGTTTCAGACTTCTTCGTTGAGAAACATGTGGGTTCTTGCTAAATTTCTATTACTCTTTCTAAAGCAAGTCATTGTATAAAATGCAGGATGCTCTGTTACAGCTGGTGACCTGCTATCCATTAGTGGCCAAGACATTGAGAGATGCCTTTTTGCCAGGTGAGAAGAAGAAGAGCCACCAGCACGAAGGGCACAAGGGCCATAGATGTGGAGCCGCAATGATGCATGAGAAGACCGGTTACAAGGACCTCGATGCCCTTATGGATGATCCCACTGACCTCAAGTTCAGAATTGGTGTTGGCTTCAGACATTGTAGGATTGCCTGGGGATGACTTATTATCTCATCTAACTTTAATCAATTCATATCATCCTACTTTTAGAGCTGTTGAAGGTGGAGCAGCCAGGAGAGTTTGAGAAAGAGTCATGGATCATGAAAGATGAGGAAAAATTGGAGTCAGTGGGAAAGCTGAAGGAGAAGGGGAATTCTTCATACAAAGAGGGGGACCATGATGCTGCAGCCAAGATTTATGCTGAGGCCATTGGCCGGCTTGAACAATTGCTCCTCAGGTTTGATTCTGGGACTCAGTGAAATTTTTGTTCCTGTTCCATTTGTTCATTAATGTTGCCTCATTCCAGGGAGAAGCCTGGGACTGTTGAGTCAAACCACTTAGAAGACCTCAAGATTCCATTACTTCTCAATTATTCCCAGTGTAAGCTTCTGTCTGGGGAGCATTATGAGGTGATCGAACACACAACTCAAGTCCTCAAACGGGAGCCAGGTCAGTTCAACATCCTGTGGTGATAGTGAAGCATTCTTATAGGGATCACTATTGAATATATGTTATTTGGAACAGAGAACGTGAAAGCCCTATTTCGAAGAGGAAAGGCCCATGCAGCTGTGTGGAATCCTAAAGAGGCAGAGGATGATTTTGAGAAGGCGGCATCTTTAGATCCATCCCTACGCGAGGTTGTAAGGAAAGAACTGGATCTTCTCCGTCAGAGGAGTAGAGAGAGAGATGCTCTGGATAAGGACAAATTCAAAATGCTTTTTTAACCCTCAGCTCATCAGAAATGAGGAAGACAACACATACCATTTAGTCAGTTTGTAACTGTCTGTGATATAACAAATTTGTCATGATGTCTTCATTACTCAGTCTTCACTTTAGTGATTTCAGATCTTAGAGGCAAAATATCCAGTTGTGCGATTCACATGCCAAGTGAGAATCACAAAAAACAAAGTTATGGAAGAAGTTTCACTTTGTGGGGGAGCAATGGTTATGGTCTAGACATTTTGTAATGGCCAAACATTGTAGATCATCAGCTGTGGAGTTTTTTGCATGTAAGGCTTGTAAACATGTCACAACCATCATCATATAATTTCATGGAATATTGAGGATGTATTGGCTTTTTTGATTGGTCATGTGACCTTTCTGTCTCTAAATGTATATCAAATCTTTATAAAATAGAATGCTTCCAAGTAAAAAGTCTGAACTTCATTCACATGTACCATACAGTAAAAAATTGCGACAAGTTAATGATGTACAAAATGAATCATGGAAAATAAAACGCAAGGCATTGTCACAAGGCTTGAGGAGTCTTTCTAGAAATGGGCATCAAGGGTGAACGTGTGAGACTCCTTATCAGCCATCACCCCACACTTCTGGTATTCTCCTACTCGCTTCTCAAAGAAGTTGGTCTTTCCCTCCAGGCTAATATGCTCCATGAAATCAAATGGGTTCTCAGAGTTGTACATCTGCAAAAAAATTTTAAAATATAATTCGTGACACAAAGAAGCAAAGGACAAACCAGACACAGATAGCCACTTGCCTTGGAGCAGCCCAGCTCAAGAAGTAGTCGGTCAGCCACGAATTCAATGTAAGTCCTCATGAGACTGCAATTCATGCCAATCATGGCGACAGGGAGAGCCTCCGTAAGAAACTCCTGCTCTATGGCTACTGCATCAGCAATGATATAGCGGATACGCTCCTCAGTTGGCTTGTGCACCAGATGTTTAAACATGAGGCAAGCAAAGTCACAGTGCAGACCCTATTTAAAAGAAGAAAGACAAATTTGCTATTTGCTCATTCTATTAGCAATTTCTACATGGGTAAAAACAGAGTTCAAATTTACTCAATGACTATCTTTAAAATATGAACTTAAATTGGGAAGGTCAGAAAAAGATGTTTTCTTTTTCCTCATTCTAACCAATGTACCATAATGTGCCATAAGTGAGGAAACAAAGGAATTGTGGGGGAATTAAATTTTCAAAATGGCAGGACATGTGACTTATTCTTTCTGTTCTTAGTGGTCCTCAAAAGAGCAGTTGGTTTCTTCACTGGTTGGGGTCTCCAACAGTAGTTGTTCAATTTGTGCACCATCTTGTTCTATACATTATTATAATTGATTTTTGACACCTACACAGAGGCATCCAAGTGCTTTGGCTGACACTTCATTGTAGACAGTTGTAATTCAGGCTTCACGTTTATCAAGTGAATGCAGTTGAGTGTGATATATGATGGTTTTGAGAAAACAAAAATACTTTTTAAAATGTCCTCTAAGTTCCCTCACTTTTGGCACACCATGTATATCAAGTGGAAGAAAGAAATAAGCATTGAAAACATGACTTTGGCTGAAAAAGAATTGGGGTCTGAAATTCGTGACAGTAAATGACCTCATCGCGGGAGATAAGCTCATTGCTGAAGGTAAGACCAGGCATAAGTCCTCGTTTCTTGAGCCAGAATATGGAAGCGAAGCTGCCCGAAAAGAAGATGCCTTCAATGGCTGCAAATGCAACCACTCGCTCTCCATAAGTTGCAGTCTCATGGTTGATCCAGTCAAATGCCCAGTCAGCCTTCCTTTTCACACACGGCATGGTCTCGATTGCATTGAACAGCTTATGCCTGTAAAAAAGGTTTTAGTAATGCAAGACAGAACAAAAAATAGACTATGCATTCAAATACCAGTAAGAATCTGTAATACCTCTCTTGGGGGTCCTTGACGTATGTATCGATGAGAAGGCTGTACATCTCAGAATGAACATTTTCCATAGCAATCTGGAATCCATAGAAGCATCTGGCCTCCGTCACCTGAACCTCCTGACTGAATCGCTCAACTAGGTTCTCGTTGACAATACCGTCTGAAGCAGCAAAGAATGCAAGTACATGCGAGATGAAATGCTGTTCCTGGGGCTTTAATTTCTCCCAATCATTCATGTCCTAAAAATGAAAGATGAAAAAAATATATTGGCTCCAATATCCCAATAGCAAAAAATAAAACTGTCTTCAGCAATTGCAGCTAACCTTGGAGAGATCAACCTCTTCAGCAGTCCAGAAAGAAGCTTCAGCCTTCTTGTACATCTTCCAGATGTCATGATACTGAATGGGGAAGATGACAAAGCGATTGGGATTCTCTCGTAGGAGAGGCTCATCTTCTATATGACTGGCAACAATACCTTTGTGACTTGACTTCACCCTGGTCTGACCCTGCAAAATACATTTCATTAAACTTTTTTTCTTTAAATGTTGGAATTATTTTTAAAATTCCAGAGAAGTTGCCAGTGCTTAATAGGGGTAAGAAAATTGAAGACTTTCTGCTTATGAGAACAGGAAGAATCAATGAATTTGTCAGAAAGTGAAATATGGTGATTCAGTGAAACCATTTGCATCTGTTGGTGTACTAGTCCTTCATTGGATGGGAATGGGTTAATAGTAGGCCCATGCTTGAGGGGAGACCCCTCCCTCGAAATTTTGGAATTCTTGTTGAAAACTGCACTTTTTCTATTTTTGTTGCATTTAGTAGAAAAACATATCTACAACCCCATTCTGTTGAAGCTATGAAGAATTTTGGCTCCCATTGCCCCCCCAAATGATCTTGTAGGCATCCTCTTCCAAACTGCTGGTGATAATGAGTAAAGTGTAACTTCAAAACCAAAAGTGTTTATTTCTTCTTGTCCAGAGATATTCTCTTTAAATTTTCTAGTCATTCCAGACACATTTGTGCATGTTTCTATGTGGTAACTTTCCAATGTGACTAAAAAAGGCTTTAGTTCAGACAATAATAGAAAGGAGTGTGCAGTCATTTTGGTGCACCAGAAATGAAAAATTGGAAACACGTGAATTTTGTAAATTTCATCAAATAGAAATGTGGAATTATCTGATTATTTCACTTTGTTTTGTTCATCTACTTCTGATGGGTTGGAATATGGCATGCCCCAAAGTTGTTCCTCAAAAATGGACATCACTAATGGCAACCAATGTGCCAGGAAATATGACCATGACTGAAAAGTTCTAGCCTCACTGTGTATGCCTACCAAATTTCAGGCAGATACTTGCATAACAATTTTCTTCTTTCAAGGGGGTCTCCCCTCGAGCAATCAAGCTTGCGATTGAGTTTTAGGCACATCTTTCTGAATTTCTAAATGCAAGGCTTAGGCCTACGACTTCCGAATAAAATTGATTTGCGTAAACTTAAAGGCACACCTGGTGAGATCCTTTCGGTGACTTTTCACCGTTGTGGGCCAGGTTCTGCGTCTCTTTCAAGACTCGTTTTCCGTTCGATGGGTCTGGAAGTGAAGTCCTGCCAATCTGCAGAATCAAGAACGAAACAATAAGCACTTTGTTAGGCCTATGTGAGACTTACATGTGGTCCGGGAAATCGGGAGAAAGGCTAACCTGGACATGGCTAAGTTTCTCTTCCAGATCTCTAGCGTCCGACGAAGGAGAGATGTTTTCTTGAAAATGCATTCTTGAGCAATTGATTCAGAATCAAATACGTTTCCTTTCGAGTATTTAGGGATGAGGAATGAGATCAATGAAGGGCTGTATATTAACCCCGGAACAGTGAAAGCACTCGACTGAGATCCTTGGACGTGTCAAAACTAGTTATAACAAAACGCGCGGGCGCTCTAGGCTCGCGCTATACGTCGATCAGCTGTTACGTCAGTACAGTGCTGTTTGATTTCAAATGCGTCTTTCACATGTGTCTTATATTCCAGTGTATTTTTCCAGATTAAATTATATTTCGCAGCGCTCTTCTTTTTTATTTTGAAAATATCGAGAAAGCTATTTTAACATGAGAGATGGTCTGAAAAATAAGCTTTGAAAACTTAACGACAAGTTGGCCTTTCACAGCACTTAATATCATGGCCGCCGTGTGATTCTATACACGTGAAACTGTCGCTGCGAGCAGATCTCTTACCGATGACCTTCTGAGTCCGTGGAGGAAGATAGTGTCACGAGCGTGCTTCAGTTCATCCCTGGCCTTAGTGAAATCTAAAAGACATGGATTTGTCCTTCTCCGGACGGGTTGTCATCATTACTGGCGCGGGAAACGGTTGGTGAACACCGGGCATTTGGTTTGGTTTTCGAATTGAGCCTTGGTCATAAGCTAAGCCTTAACTGATTCCTTATGTCCTTGGCATGGGATGTGGTTATAGCAATTTTAGTTTGTGTTCTGGAGTTCTTTTCCCATTAAAAAATGCCAGTAAGACTAGTTGGAAATACAGATTTATAATCAGTATTTTTTAGTTCTAGTCTAGAATAACTATTTTCACTTGTAGGTTTGCACTAGTAGTCAGTGACAACCTGTAGACATGGTAGGTATAGGCCTTCCACTAGCTTCCTTGCTACGGACTCCGGTTGGTGAGTAGCTCCTACAGCAAGTATAGGTCTTTTACCAAGTCACTCACCCACCATTCATGGTGTTGGACTTTGGGTGATGCATGTGTAAGCCATGAATGACCCTGCCTAACAAATTATAAATGCTTAATTTTGAAGGATCGTGCCTGCAGAGAAAGTAGATAGACAATCAGCTTGGTCTATAGTACTACCTTACTGCCTCAGTCAATTTTGTTCAATGTTGGTAGCTAGAGTTTCAATAAAGAAGACCTTTTTCTTCTAGGTCTTGGTCGTGAATATGCTCTGCTTTTTGCAAAGCATGGGGCCAAAGTGGTTGTGAATGACCTTGGTGTAAGCACATCTGGGGATGGAAAGGACAGAAAGGCAGCTGATGCAGTTGTGGAGGAAATTGGCAAGGCTGGTAAGGGTGATATGATCCCCTTCTTTTCTGGTTCAATTACTACACTTTGCCCTTACTGGTATTCTATAATATGTGGCATTCATGGATGTGGTAACAAGCCTATGCGAATGTTGCTTTCTGGTGGTGCAGGAGGGGTGGCAGTTTCAAACTATGATTCAGTGGAGGAGGGAGATAAAATTGTGCGGACTGCCATGGAAAACTTTGGTCGTGTGGATATTGTTGTCAACAATGCTGGCTTCCTGCGTGACAAGTCCTTCGCCAAGATGACCACCAAGGAATGGGGTAAGATTGTAAGGACAGAGTCTGGTTTGAGTTAATTTTGAGTAATTGGTGGAAACAGGAACTAGTTCTATTTGATACTGATAATATTATTTGGACCATCTCTATGAAGATAAATGAACTGACTTGGTGTCTAACAGATGACATCCATAAGATCCATTTGAGAAGTTCATTCATCGTGACCAAGGCAGCCTGGCCCCACATGCAGAGGCAACGCTATGGCCGTATCATCATGACATCCTCCACAGCAGGCATCTATGGGAATTTTGGACAGGCCAACTACAGTGCAGCCAAGCTAGGTGTCATTGGACTCAGTAACACCCTGGCCATTGAAGGCCAACGCTATGGCATACATTCCAATGTCATTGTTCCCATGGCAGCTTCCAGGTTGACTCAGGGAATCCTCCCTCCTGGTTAGTAACTCCTATATGAAGAAATTGAGAGAAATTTCGATATTTTGCCATTTTTTTCAAATGCTTTTCAGAGTTGTACGATCGCTTGAAGCCATCTTGTGTGGCCCCAGTTGTCCTCTGGTTGTGTCACGAAGACTGTCCAGATTCTGGAGGTGTATTTGAAGCAGCTGGAGGACTTGTGGCCAAATGTTAGTTTCAAAAACTCATTTGATTCTTATTGTTTATATCTGCAAAGGAATTCTGACCTAAATATGACTTTTTCTGACAAGACATGATTCTCTTCTCAAAGATCTCCCCTTTTTGCAGTGACTGAGAGTGCTTAATGATTCAAGGTGGAAACTTCTAAGGACAATTAAAAAAGATTGATGAAAGTATTAATTAATTTGGAATCTCAACAGTTGTCAAGGTAATAGCTCTTATTCCTCGAAGTGTTTTTTTTTTTGGCAAAGGCAGGTGATATCATCATCATGTCTGACTCATTCTTTCAATATAAAAATGTTTATAGCATAGGTTTGAGTAAGTTGTCAATCTGGAATTTGTTTCATGGATATGTGACAGGCTTTCAGGGCAGTTTTTTGTAATTCATTGGAATGTTATCAACACAATTTCTTCTTCTTTCTAGTGAATCAAAATATCTAAAGAACTGACAGTCACCTCTGTAGTCTTTTCATAGAATTTTCCATAAGCTCAGCCTCAGTACAGTTTGTAGGCACAAATTATGCAAACATCAGTTCTATTGTGTTTAAATACCACAATACATTAGATTGTCAGGCTCACATATATGTGCCTCATTCCTACCAGATCGATGGCAGAGGTCCAAGGGTCTCCTCATTGATCCCATTGAACCTCAGCGGGTGCGGGAGGAGTGGAATCGCATCACAGACATGGATGGAGGCCTTTCCCCAGACTCCAATGCAGATCTCCTCGCTTCTGTCTACTTGGAGCAACTGCAAAATCCTCCAGAGAAACCGAAGACCAATCCCACCAGTGGTGGATCCTTGCTCAATCGGGTGTGGAAATTAAAGAAAAAATATTTTTGTGGGATCAGAAATTGTGTAATCAAAGTTTCGTCATTAAGTGTTATCCTATCTTTTCAATCGCTTTAACTATGGATGTAATCAAGAAAATTTCAAACTCAATGTATAGAACTCTTTCTGCAGCTGTTATTATTGGTTGATTACCATGGGTTCTACATGTGCCTGATCATTGGTAGTAGATAATGAATTTATTTTACCCATTAAATGTGCACTTCATAAGCATTATTTTCATGAGTGTAATTTCTAATGGCTATAAACAGTATGATTTTCTAATTGATAATGGGGATTAGAGAAGCCCTTGAGGGAAGGAGATTCTATGAGTAGTGCAAGTTCTTCCTCCTTGCATTGCAGGATCTCCTGCTTCGCTATGAGTCCTGTGGCACATATGAGTTCTCCAGTCAAGAGGCCATTCTTTATTCTCTTTCAGGTAAAGGCTTGCCCTTTTACCCTCTGTTATTCAAGCCATTTTATAGATGAGACAGCAACGAAATGATTGAGTCATGACTGTTTTTGTCTTGTATGTCAAGTGGGCTGTTCACTGAGTGACACACATGGCTTGCGATATCTCTATGAGGGTCATGAAATCTTCTCTCCCCTCCCCACATTCTCTGTCATCCCTGCTCAGACTTGCCTTTTTGGTGGAGAGCTCTTCTCTGGATCCCTTCCTGGCATTGACTTTGACCTCTCCAAGGTCTCTCTCTTTCTTGTTTGACTCTGTTCTTTACTATCACCATGTGTCATGTCAATCTGTCACTGTCACTGCAGCTTCTGCATGGGGAGCAATATATCGAGGCTTGTGGGGATCGGTTGCCAGCCTCTGGCACCTTGACATCACGGTGTACAGTTGCTGATGTCCTTGACAAAGGCTCTGGAGCTCTCATCTATTTCAATGGTATTTTCATTTTTCCTTCTTTTTATGAAAAAGGAAGTTGATATCTGAATGAATGTCCCATGTTGTGTCCTGGCAGTGGAGACAAATGATGAAAGTGGCAACCGTGTTGCATTCAATCAATTTGGAGTGTTCATTGTGGGCCAGGGTGGATTCGGTGGGCCAAGGAAGACAGAGAAGGCAATTCCCATCCGAGATCCTCCATCTCGAGAACCTGACAAGACATTCTCTTTCAAAACTGGTGTCAACCAGGTATCTCCTTTATTTTCTTTCCTTATTCCATCATTTCCTCACTCATCATGACACAGCTTTTTTGTGCAGATATTTTTCCTTAGAGACTGTTTCCTACTGTTTCCTTTCTTGCACAGTCATAAGTAGAATTTTCTCTTATTCTCATAGTAATTTGCTTTTCCTAAAATTATCCCTATAATCCTGAAGGTTTACTGTAAGAGATTCAGAGATACCAACTACATATGCCATTTGAGCCCAAGTCAAGAGATTGTACGGTAAAGCTTGATTTGATCATATTTCAAGTATGGCTTGACTTGAAAGGACTTGGTTTGAATTTGAGGCCAAAAGTGTCACACATGATTTAAGGATCATCTAATTTTTTTCTCATGGCTTTCTCCAATGAAAAATCTTCAAGAAATCTTGGAATAAATCAGTTGCTTTGGTCATTTTCCTTGGAGCTTGCCTGGGACATGCAAGTGTGACAAGAAAAAGTTAAATAATTTATTTAGAGAGTTGTATTGCAAATTGCAACTGTAGAAACATGGAAAATGTCATGGCCTCAGTTCAGAGGGTTCTTCACATTTATTATTGATATTTCATCATTTTAATCCCATATAATTCCTACTTATCAGAATTTCATGTTGCAAATGCCTTGAAGCATGAGTTGATATTATTATCTAAAGAATTTGAAGTCTGTGAGCATCATAGATTTTTGCCTTTCTACATCCCTTAATCTATGTTTGGCTTTTTTTAAAAATTGTGTTGATGTGGTAAAAGATGTGGATTGACCTGACAAAACATAATCTTTGAAGCTGCATCTAATGAAATGCTGTCAATTGGGGTGCTTTTCAGGCTGCCCTTTATCGCCTGAATGGGGACTTCAACCCACTGCATATCGACCCAGACTTTGCCGCTCTAGGGGGGTTCGAGCAGCCGATCCTGCATGGCCTCTGTTCACTTGGCATTGTGGCTCGACAGCTCCTACAGTACTGTGCTGGGGATGACCCCACCCGTTTCCATTCAATCAAGGTCACTTCTCAATAATGTTTGTGATTGTGCATAGGATACTGACAATACAGAAAGCCTTCAGTAAATGTCATATCTGTGTGGGTGGGATTTTGGCCTGTAAGTGCTCTCAGTAAATAACCAATACTCTGTCTACTACTTTAAATGCCAGCTAATGCCATCCAGTTTTGAGTTCACCAGAACTTTCCCAGCAGAAAACAGGATTTGATGATTGATAACATTGTATTGGGGAAAAAAGCAATTGGAATTATTTGTTCATGTGTTGGTCAGTCATGTCATCTTGGCTTATTATTGTAGGTGAGGTTTGCCAAACCAGTGGTCCCAGGTGAGACACTGGAGACAAAGGCTTGGATCCAGGACAATGGCATCCATTTTGCAACCCATGTGAAAGAGAATGGAAATCCTGTCATCACAGGTAAGCCTCACCTATTCATAAAACTACACATATACATCACACATCAAGACATTATTGGCATTATTGGCCTGGATAATCTCAGCTTCCAACAACTATACATATTGGTATGATTGAGAGGTGACCCCAAAAATTTTTGTTTAAAATTTGCTTTAATTTATTTTTTGGCAGTCATTTTGACTGAATAATTTACAAGACAGACTGATCTGTTTTTATCTGGTGGACATTCTGCACTGGCAAGTCTATTCAGGAGTAAAAGAACTTGTCTGTTTAGTGGTTGGAAGTGAAGATAAGGGCTGAAGCTATGGTTATTACATTTGAAAATGAAATATTCTTCCTCACCAGGTGGATATATGGAGCTGAAGGGAGGAAAAAAGGGAACAGCAGGAGGAGAAGATAGTAATTTAAAGAAAATGCTGGAGACACTCCAGGAGAGACTCAAGTCACGGTCGAGTCAGGCCAAGGCCCTCAACGCTGCTTTCCTTTGGATTGTTTCTCAAAATGATGGGAACCAAGATTCATGGAGTAAGTTCCTACATCGTTGAGGTGGCATTCTAGTATATGACAAAAAGTTTGCTGGTGCTGGTTCCAGCCAGAAACCTGAGAATGGAGCAGGAACAGATCATTCTAAGATTGGATCTGCCTGGAATTATACTTGAGTCTCATGCAGGCCTCAGACCTTGTGTTTAGTGTGGGGAGTCCTTTCATTTGATGCAGATTATGGTGATCTTTGACTTTCATCTCTTTTACAGTTCACTTCCTTCCTTGTTACCCTTCTCCCTTTATGTATATTGTCAAACAGTAACACTTGCTAATTTAAATACCATCAAACCCTTCATGGCTGATTCTTATGGGCCAGGTTGCCCATGAGGAACTGCTCTTTTTAAATTTTAGTCAGTGATCTCTTATCCTGTACATGTATCCAGATGGGTGAACCATCCTACATGCTGACTCCTCTTCCATTCTAGAAATTATCAGAGCATTTTCCTTTATTGTGATATTGATGCAATTGGATTGGTTGGAGGCTGAGATTATTCAGGGATCAAGGTTATGCAATACTGTGCATGATTCCTACTTTGCTGTTTGTACTGGGTGGTGCAAAAGCCATGCACCATAGAGGATTTCACAATTGGACTATATTAATTCTTATAATTATTATTCTAATTATTCCCTTTATTATTATTAATTACACCCTCTCATCTTTTTGTTAATTTTGCAGCCATCATTTACCTGGAAAGAAAGAAAAGGAATTATTATAGTCCAACAGTGAAATCCCCAATGGTGTACCACTATTGGGCCACCCTATGTAATAAAAAAAATTGACTTGTTTTATGGTCACCCTACATTTGTCATTTGTTGACAGCCCTGGACCTACGTAGCAAGGATGCCCCACACGTGCATGCAGGGGGACCCCGAGATGGGCGAGATCCAGATGTGACCCTGTCGATCCAGGTTGGAGATCTAGCATCCCTGGTGGAAGGTTCCCTCCCTCCATCCAAGGCTTTCTTTCAAGGGAAGCTGAAGGTGAAGGGAAACATGATGCTGACACAGAAGCTGGAGTCCCTCCTTGCTCCACAGGCCAAGTTGTAGGCTCTTGACTGATGATTTTAAGTTGAGTTTGTGCTCCTTGTTTGTATCTATGCTGGGTTGAATACTGAAGGATCAGATATTTTCTGGCTGTCTAAAATAGTCTCCTTTGGGGAATGGCTTCTGCATGCATACAGTGCAATTAAATATATTTTCAGGGCAAGTTGACAAACTCTGTGCAGAGCTCTTGTGCACATGTGCAGAGCTCTTTTGAGCTTCTCCTATATCACAGCTGGGACTGTGAATGCATCTGTGATGCCATCGAGGATGCCATACATTTTCCAACTCAGTTGCATTATGAGGGAATGTGTCTTTCAATTATTGATGGCTTAGAACTTGGACTTGGGCTTGTTGTTTGTTGGTATCATCAGTGCAGGTGTCGTAGCTGTGCCATAATAGCAGAAAATGGGGTGCAAACTCAATTGCCAGTACCTGTATCAAATGAATTATTGTCTTGGGGAATCTTGGGATATCTCATCTATCAGTGACTAGTTGGGGATGTTTTCAGGATTGAGTGCCTTCAATCCCTGTGAGAGAAATTTCATCCTCTTAGGGTCATGTCATTTTATATTTTTATCTCTGTGATATTATCCTGGGCTCATCTTTCATTCCATTGCAATATATCTTGCTTTATTGTATCTACTTTCTGCATTTTTTATTCTGACTGAAACTGATACTCATCCATGACTCCCCATGTTAAGGAGCCATCGGGATGGTCAGGATTTCCTTGTGGCTGCAGTGAAGAATGCAAGGTTGGGTAGAAATACCCAGTGATCAGGGCCGGATTAAGGTTATGAGGGGCCTAAGGCTAATGGGAAGGAAGGGCCTAAGTATGAATTACATTTTGCAAAAAAAAAAAAAGAAATGGAGGGCCTAAGGCTATAGCCTTGTTAGCCAATGGGTTAATCCGGCCCTGCCAGTGATGCATTGCTAACCAGCTATGGATTATGTCCAAGCTAGTACAACATACAACAGTATCAATCTAGGACAGTGGCGTAGCTACCGAATGTGTAGGCGGTGCGAGGGGGGCCCAGACGCCAAGCTACGAAGACAGGGGGCTAAATTCGGCCAAATTCGCAGTCTTATTTTTTTTTATTTAGAAAGCACATAAATTAATCTTAGCTCCTGTGAAACGGATATTCAGGGTTTTTACCCCAGACGAAAAATGAATAAGGCGATAGGACGGAGGGTGGTGGTAGATGAAGGGGGGGGCTGGGAACTAGGAAACAGGCTATGAAAAACTACTGTATCCGCCACTGCCTTCCACACTGACTTCAGCCACCGATGACGATTTATATGCTGCCAGAGAAAACTAGCAAAGAAATGACTCCCACATAATTCAATAGTAAATGGGACAGCGGGCCCCGTTTCATTCCTTGCACCAGGGCCCATGCCAACCACGCTACGCCACTGATCTAGGAAGAGAATTGTGGTTCTTAACCAGTGATGGATCATGCAGCCTCACTCTCCTGGCAGTAAGTGGCGTTGAAGAGCCACATCATGAAAGACGTCAGCTCCAAGCTCTAACATGAACCATCACTCTTTTGTGATCCATAAGCGTAGCGCGGATGGGGGGGATTCTGGGATACTATTATGCATTTCATGGGTCTTTTCCTTCCTTTTTTGGCGTCTTTCCTTGAAAAGGGGGGACACGTGCGCCCCCAACGCAACGCCGCTGGATCCATCACGGGTTGTTTTATTCTATAGCTGATCGCCCAAACGAGAGCTCGGTCGGCCCGACCAACCGGTCGCTGATTTCCTGTATAAACAGCCAGGAGCATGTTTCCTATGGCCTGCGTGGTAGGATGGACTACATGGCAAGTGGTGAGTCGCTTTTTAGACATTGCACTGGACATAGCCCTCCTGACAATCGAAAAGCGATAAAACTTGCACACCAAAAGTTGAGACTCCGATCGGCATTGCTTCTGCGGACAGACCACGAAGCACGAGGCAGCCTGGCAGCCGCTCCAAGTCCTGTGTCGAGCGAGTGCCCTTTCGGAAAGGGAATCGTCCAGGTGCCGCGATGTGGGTCTACGTTGGCACGGTGTCTTTGCGGGAATACCATGTTTCGCCACTTCGCCAAAATTTTATCACGAGCGGCAAACGTGGGTCATGATAATTCTCGGTGTCTACCCGCTTTTCGAATTCTAAAAATATCACTCAATGGCTAATGAATGCCGATGGAAGGTCCCAACGCAAGTTTCCAGATTTTCCATTCCATGGGCCCACTCCTCTCCATAATTTACTAGACGCTTCCCATAACCCAAATCATCGCCCAGCAAACAAACGAACATTCAATCAGCGTTGTATGAACGTTAAATTTGAACCNTCCATAATTTACTAGACGCTTCCCATAACCCAAATCATCGCCCAGCAAACAAACGAACATTCAATCAGCGTTGTATGAACGTTAAATTTGAACCTTCCTACTGTTGTGGTGGCGTTGCATCTAATATTAAGTCACTTTTGCTATGTCGCTCATCGGAAAACTCAGATGAACGCTGAATTTCAACACTGGCTGAACGTTGGGCCAGCGTTGCAATGTCACTTATTGGAATGCTCACTCCCACCTTAGTAGCATCCCAATATTGGGACAATAATGACAGCGGTGAAATATATATATTGTTCTAAAAAATACTATTGATAGGACTTTCCTGGGAACTGTCCTCCCTTTCCTGCTCTGCAGAGTACTCTAACCCTTCCATCATTCTGTCCCTGGAGTTGTGGAACTGAAGGTCAGAGCTAATGCACAAAATCGAGTTTTTTCCCAACTGCTTCAAGTTAAAGTCATGCATGCATGCTAGGGGTTCTCATAGGGAGGATGAGCTTGTTTATCGCCTGGGCTCCATGGTAATCGAGTATAATAATAATGAATATGGGAATAATAAATGATTAAATGTCCGATTTTATTGATTGCTATAATGAGACTAGTAAAAACATATGGT